CATGTTTTGGGTGTACTATTCCTTTAAACTGTGATGCTTATCAAATGTTTATTTATTCTATTTTTTTTTTCTAGTACAAAACATTTGGTTTGATGCAGCTTCTCAATCTGGTCAGAAGGATCTGAAATCCATGAATCCACTGTTAGGAAAGAAGCATAGAAATGCACCTTCAGAACATCTTCCAACATGTTGAGGTCTGGTATTCCTAGAAAGTTCACCCTGAGAGCAGATCACAGGAGGCTAAAGGTCTCCAAAAACCCACAACTGCTCAGAGAGAGATGGAGTGAGTTTAACTTTAATGGGGGAAACCTTTATTATAGAAAAAGAAAGATTTATGTTTGTAAAAATGGCCTCATGTGAACCTTCAGATGAATTTGGTTGGTTGTTATGGGTGTTTGGTGATTTAGTTTGACTAATCTCCCACCTTTTTCACAGCGATTCCATTAAATTACATAAGGAAAATAAAATAAAAGGTTCTAATTTAAGTAATATTTGTTTCACATTATTTATATTCCAATAAACGAATCAAAACAATAAAATCCCTGGGATAAAGTTGTTAAATATAGACTCTCTGTGTCTACACTTTGAAGCTTTCTCTCTCTGGTTCTTTTTCCTAAAAAGAGATCATTCGACACAAACTCTTTAAATAACACTTAATAACTTATTAAATGAAATAACCAGGAGGCATGACAACAGATTTTGATAGAAATTGTAATCTTACTCAGATCAGAGAAGTTGCTTCGAGTTTACAGAAGGCAGCTGCTCACCATCCGGGCTCGCTTCTTGGGAAGTGGCCCTGATAAATGTTTAAAGAGACGCTTTATATGTCTCCAGTCTGTCACATCATTCACATTAGCATATATGTAGACATCCATGGCTCCAGCCTTATCAAAATATTACACTTTGTTCTTAGCTGAAGGACACCGCTCTCATTCCATTTCCACATCTTTGCCGTGTACAGAATGAAGATTATAACTGCATATCTGGGCAGGTGAATTGTCTTAATGTGCATAGTTACTGTTTCTAAGGGACATACTGGGATGGCTTTGTGGGAAATCTGTTAGCTTTCTAAGGTTTGTTGGTGAATTTTCATTCAGTTTTAGAGAAGAACTAATGTTAAAGTTATATTTACCGCTTTGAAAGTGAAACCTGCAATGATATGGCATCATTTAGTATACTGTAGTTTCTTTTTCAATGTGTAGGTATTCAGTGTGGTTACTTTCAAATCCACTCTAGGGTCATTTTACTTGACTTTTAAACTCTAACCACTGTAAGATCATCTGGAAATGATGCTACACTGCAGCTGCTCAGAGTCTACAGATATTATTTTAATTAACAGCTCAGACTTAACCCCACAGTGGAAAAAAACACAGTTGACAGTAATGGTGGTATCAAACAACATTAGACTACACTTGGACTTAGACATATTTATTTTGTCTTTTTGTATACACAAGTGTATACAAAAGACATTTAGTTTAAAACAGCTCTAGACAATTTGAAAAAAAAATTTGAAAAAAAAAATGTAATATAAACATATGACTGTATAGATCTTAGACTTTACAGTTCTAAGATGATTTTTAATTTTTTAACAAATAAAATAACCCATTCTACAAAACATTCAGCAGTCTAATGGCAGACTGTCACTTGGTTTTCTAGGAGTGGACTTGAACGGATCATGTGGAGGTTTTCCCCTTGCTTAGTGAGACTCAGTAAATCCTTCCAGGGGTAGAAGGTCCAGGCTTATCCAGTAACACAGGAAGTCTTCCTGTCGAAGAACAAAGACAAAAAACAAGTTCAGACTCAGAGAAACAATGCTATGGTTAGACTCTGCTCATCTCAGTTTGGCTAGAGTACCCAATACTGGCAAACACTCTTGGCATCAATGGGGTGACAGCCTGCTGCTCAAGTACTCCTCTGGTAATGACCCAACGAGCTGCAGGTGTGCAAACAACCCACACAAACTGGACTCATAACACCATTAAGGTGAGAAGAACACATTATTCAGATAGGACTGAACCAAAACCCTTTAATACAGCAGAGAGTCTTTTACTCTGCTAAAGTAAAACAAAACAAAGAAATTAAAATGCTCAACATGTGTCATCTCAAGGTAAGGAATTGATGAAGAACAGAACAGGGGCAGCTGGGAAAGACACAACCAGGAACATTAGTGACAGTTCAAAATGTTTCTTTCTCAATCAAACTCCAGCCGAATGGCAGCCCACTGCCTCCAACTCCAAGTGAAATCCCCTCCAGCTTCCAGCAACTGCAGTGACCCCCTCTCACATATTTTTTACTCTGACTCCACCCTTTCACTGCATTACAGGGTCTAACCAGGAGATGAAGCTTCTGTTCTTAATGTCCACAAATGACGGCAGAAAGAATATCTTATTACAAATATTGATGTTTAAAAAGGAAGTGAAGGGGGACCAGCCAAGGGTCCATCAAGGAAAGTGGGGAAATTTTGAGGTTTTCTATTGTAGATCAGGAGGCCTGAATAAGGAGCAGAAAATCCAGCCCACTGAGGACCTCTAGTGGCCTCAAGAGGGACAACAACAAGGGGACAAAAAAGGGTTGAAGTGAAGAAGAGGAGGTGAAGACAACATATTTGTGCTCTTTTGGTAAAACTTTCAAAACTTTTCTTGTGTTAGATGAGGAGTAGCTTTGTGTGGGGAGGTTTTCCAGTCAGCACTTTTGGTTTCTGATGAATTTGATCATATATTCGCAGACATCTGAGTAACAAATCTCCTTTTTCTCCCCAGTGACATTTAGATAACAGATTTCAGATCAGCCTGAAACTAATTTCATCATCATGGAAATACCTAAAGTAATGGTGTGTGTAAGTGTGTGTTTTTGAGTGTGTGTGAGTGTAGGGGGGTTATTGAGATAGGAGGTAGTGATTGCGGTCACAGTGACGACAGCAGCTTGCTGTGAGCAGACAGGAAAACGTCTTCCTTCTGTTTGAGGCTTCCTCAGCTCAGAGCACATGAACTACTGCAGCACACTGAATCCAGCTCACCCTGCAGATCTACCAGGCCCACTGGGAACCAGGGCCCGTTCCGAGGGGCCCAACACATGGTCTGAGACCCAATGACAGTACAGTAGAGCCAGCCAAAAAGGTCAGTTTTTAACTTGGTTCTGCCTTGTTTAGAAGGTAGAATCAAGACTCCTAAATTCACTATAGAGAAAATGAAATAGAGACAGTAAACAAAAGAGATTCTGATGGTTATGTTGGGCTTTTAAATTAAAATGTTGGAGGAGGAGTTTATTTTAACAGAATTTATTTTAGAAGTTTGGTATTTCTGTAGGTTTTTAGACCTGATAAGAAACCTGCTGGAGGATTGGAAGACTCCATTACATACAAGGTATAAAAGAAAAGGAAGAAAAAATACCGAATAACAATCTACAAATAAGTAAACATTTCTTAAATTAAGTTATTTACCCTTAATTTGAGTATGTAAGTGAAACAGTTTGCCAATGGAATGGGTATTTTTAATCTTGAAATAAGATAATTAGATAATATTCACATAAAATAAGACATTGCAATTGTGTTTTCGTATTTTAAGTGTAAATTGTCTTGTTCCATTGGCAAAATGTCTCTTTTACCTCCTCAATCCAAGAACAAATGTACTTATTTTAAGAAAAAAGGACTTATCGAGATTACGATTTTTCCAATGGAGGTAAAAATCAACCAATCAGAGCTGTAAAGCAGGTAATATTTAAGTTTACTGGTTTAATCTTGTTAGATGTGTGAGTCAATAGAAATAGAAAACTTTGAACCAATCTGACTGGATGATCTGGATGAATTGTCTCTGTGAAGTGCCTTGAGGGGACGTGTTGTGAATGAGCATTATATAAATAAACTGAATTGAATGTAGTTGTTTTATCTTTCTCATGAAGGCTGATGAAGATGTTGTGTGAATTTTTGTGAAGGCATTAGAAGATTTAGTCGTCCCACCTGCAGCAGCTGCCCTGTCCTCATTAAATCATCTGTTTATGTGGTGAAATCAGGAGTTTTTCGTATATTCATGGATCCCTCACAGCCTCATTCTGGTTTCGGTTTGCCGTAGCAAGACCTCATTCTGTTGGGTTTATGGTGTTTCTCAGTCTGCAGCCTGGATGCTCTGCACAGTGAAGCTTTTGGCTCTATTTGCTGACTCTTTGTGCCTTTGGTTCATTTCAACCTTTCTTCTTAAAGTTTTTCTGAGCTTTTCAGCATAAACCTTTTAATCTATTTGCTGCATATTGTTGTTCCGTCACTTACCAAGAAACTTTTGTAGCTAAGCTCTACTTCTTCCAGTAGATCGCCCCACATCAGGAGGAAAAACATAAATAGAAGCCATTGCGTCAAGCTTTTTGGGGAGAGCTAAAATAAAACCTGCAGTTCTGATGATGCATCTCACTTTATTCAACTTCCTCTAACTTAAAAAGGACCTGTTAGCTGGCCATGTGATCCCACGTGTGTGAGAGGAGTTTCTGTGAATTCTCTGAGCTGAAAGAGTGGGACAGTGATGAGAAACCCCAGGCTGTGAACACAGAGCAGTGAAAACACGTCACCCTGTACTGCAGCGGGGGGAAAAAAGACGTTAAAAATATTAAAATTAGAACATGTTTATAAGTGTTACACGAACGACAACTGTTGCATATAAAAAAAAAAAAATGGTTCTTTGCAAACCCTGACACGCATATTACCACATAGATTTGATTCACTTCCTGACAGACACTCGGCACACTTCAGCTTCCTCACTCAGTAAAAAGTAATATAACGGTTGCACTTTTAACATACTCAGAGTTACTCACCAATGTAACAGATCACTAATATTCCAACACCTCTGGACCTACAAACCTTCAATGCATTCAGTTTTCAATGTTCCTGCACCCTAAAATCAGCACCGGTGAACCCCAAGGCTGTGTACCTGCTCCCTTTCTCTTTCCTCTTAATTGCTTCATGCAGTGAAAGTTAAATTTCATCACAGCTTATATGAAATCTGCATCTAAACTAATCATCCAGTCATCCTGATCTGCCAGCAGTTGTTTGTCTGTGCTAAAGGCCAATTAGGATCTGGTTTTGTTAAGCTCACTGCAAAAAAAAAAAAAAAGTAGTTTTCCTTAAAATAAGTGCATTTTTTCTTGAATTGGGTGGTAAGTACATTTTCAAATGGAATAAGACATTTTACGTTTACAATGAGAAAAAGCTATTTGCATTGTCTTATTTCAAGTGCATATTGCCGTTTACTTATATAGCGCTTTTTCAAGTCAGGAGACTTGACCAAAGCCCTTTATGCTAGGGTTAGCATAAAGGAAGCAGCAGAGGCAGCAGAAGCAGCTAGTTTCCATGAAAAGTTAATGGCTGACATGCATCACGGCACAGCAAATGTCCTGCAGCTCGCTTTGAACAGCAGGAGCAGCACGTCATGAGCTTCTGAGCATCTGGCACATGCAACGCGCTTAAGAAGCATCAGCTGCTGGAGTTGGAAAAATTTAACTATTGCTGCTCGACGCACCGTATCAACCACTCAGAGAAGCTGATCTGGGAGCTGGCAGGGAGACAGACACACATGATGCAGATCGCTGGGATCGCGCCTCTGAAAAAGTTTATTAATGCCTAAATGAACTTAAAATGTTGAAACCTGCCGGCAAAATAAGTTAGATTTTATTATTCTGGTGCCTACATTTTGGATTACATGAAAACCAAAAAAGGCAACAAGGCCAGAGGCTGCTATTGAACGGGATTCCCAGTGAGCTTTCTCACTTAAAAACATTAAAAAAATTACTTTTTCCCACTTAAAACAGAAAAAATAGCTGCCATTATTACAGGCAAAGAAAGGAAGTAGCTCCCCCCCACCCGCATCCAGAACCACTTTCCACCGCACAGCTAGAGCAACAAAGATGCTTCAGCTGCGCGTCAGAACTAAACTGGTACATGTCAGGTTTCTGTTATGTTTTTCTTTTGAGTATTCAGTCTTACTTTACTCCTTGTTTTCTAGTGTTTAGTCTTCTTTTCTCCATGTTTTATAGTCCTAGTAATTTATCATTTTGTTGTTATTTCCAGTCTTCCAGGTTTCTTTGTTGCTTTCTGCTGCCCTCTAATGTTCTCCTTTTTCCCTAGCTCTTTTCCACTCTTGCTCTGTGCACACCTGCTCCTAGTTTCCTCATTAGCCTTTGTCTTAGTCTCCTTTAAAAGCGTCCTCGTCAAACGCCGTCAAACATGCTCCAACTCCTTCTTTCTGAGCCTCCTCCTTATGATTGTGATTCCCCTGATGTCTCCATGGTTTCTGGTACGTTTAGACTAGTTTTCATGTTTTGGATTTTTGGACTCCTGGTTTCATGTTTGTTTGGACTTTGTTTTCTTTTTGGACAACCTGCCTCTGTTTTCTGTTAGCTCATAATTAAATCCACAAGAGATTCACCTCTGCCTCCCTGCCTCTGCTTTTGGGTCAACTAACCATAGCCAAATCGTGACAGTACAAGCATCAAAAACGAAGAAGCACACATGTTTTTGCTGACTCTGCTGCTTGCAGTCTCAACGTAACATGACACCACATTCAGTCATTCACCTATTCACACGCTGATGGTGGCAAATTACGGTTGTAGCCACACATTCCCTGGGACT